ACAATATGCCAGACTTCCTCTAAACAATTGGATATTTCCTTTCAAAATAGGAGAATGCTACAAATAAAATGAAATGTAACAAAACTATCACCAGATAAAGTTGAAAAAAGTACCACAATTGAAGAATATTATTAGAATGGTTCACTCAGAGGGTGCATAGTTGAATTTTTAGGTGTCAATTTCCCAGATGTTGAAAACAAAACAAGATCCAGGCAATACCTCCAATGTGCCTAAAAGTAGTTGGCAACAATTCTACAAGGTAAGGAGAGACTAAAATAGGCCTTCCACTATCATGCTTAAAAATAATTTTTATTATATCCCTGATATAATGCCTCCAGGATTCAAGTGGGTTAAAATGAAGAGTAAAATATAAATAGTAAAATTTAATAGACATTTTCACAGCTTGTTGGAAAAAAAAAGATTGTGATTAATATTTTTATTCTTACACACTTGGCAAGTGTTTGTTTTCAAAATAAATAGAAAATGAAGCCCATAAGAAGTGAGGATTAAGAGCTAAATATGTTACTATATATCATATTAGTTACTTAGGTACACATTTTGGGTAATTCTTTCTCATGTCTGCCACTTGCAAAAAAAAAAAAATCAATAAAAGCCATGTGAAAATATCTAAATGAACACAGGGGAAACAGTGTCAGAAATCAATACTTCTCTACCGGCATGTTTAACCTGCTGGAATGAAGTGTTAATCACAGAAATAAGATACCATATTACATTTATAAACTAATGAAACTAGGAAAAGCAAAGCGTGTGACACTATAATTAAACAGCTGGAAAACATCCAAGCCTGTGTAAGTTGATAACCCTCGTACAATCTCTGGCAGGGAAAAGGCAGGTCTGCAGTGAGTTGATATGGCCAGCTCAGTTGTTAATTGAATAACAGGCAATCTATAAACACAACTAATTGCACATGTGAAAACCTGTGTACACGTATACAAGTTGCCTAGAGAAGCACTCCAGAAAAACTACGTGGATAAAGCACTCAACAAATCTTCTGTCTCTCTCAATCTGGTTAAGTCATAGCTTAAGTCTTGCCACTGCAATCTTCTGATTAACCTCTACACAGAAGACTTAATGATACATTTTTCAAAAGATCATTTTTCTTCCTAACTCAATACGAACTGCAGATCTATCAATTACCCATTTCAGCAAAGAACAAACAAGTAATCTAGAAAATCCTGCCTGTGAATGGAAAGCTTTCTAAATTGTAAAAGAAGACATAGTCTTATTCCCAACAGACAAAATGCTTTTCAGAATTGTTCTGACAAATTTTGCACAAGTGTGGCAGCTGCTGGAACAGCATGCAGTATTAGGATTTGACTTTTTTCTCCTCTCTCGATCTTACTTAAAGATATAGCCATTTAGGGCTGGGAAGGTGGCTCAGTGGTAGAGTGCTTGCCTTGAATGCATGAGGCCCTGGGTTCAATTCCTCAGCACCACATAAACAGAAAAGGCTGGAAGTGGTGCTATGGCTCAAGTGGTAGAGCGCTAGCTAGCCTTGAGCTGAAGAGCTGAGGGACAGCACCCAGGCCCAGAGTTCAGGTCACATGACCCACACACACACACAAAAAAAAGCTATAGCCATTTGGAGGAGGCTCAGAAACTATTGTCAGAATTTTAGTTCTCCATTTAACAAATGCTTTTATTTAGAGTAATTATTTCAACCTTGTTAAATGCAAAACATTTCAAAACTATTGGTCTAGGATCTGAACCCAACTTTTTTTTAATCTGTGAAGACTAGTTGAAGGGATTCATGATGAGAAATGAAAAGCTACTCTAATTTAAGACTCATCTCTACATAAGATCAATAGAGAGCAAAGTACCTGCATTCTGAAGATGTCCAGAGCTTCCATGAAATACACTAATGATACCCTCCCTAGTGGATTTAAGAACATCATGGAATCCAGGCCTACTAAACAGAGTGCTTACATTCACATTCCTTGCTCTAAATCTAACTAGCTATGAGCAAAACAATGTAGTCTCATAAGGCCTCAGTTTTCTCAACTATTGAGGTAGTCACCAAAAACAAACAAAAAAACCTCAAAAGGCAATATGATTTCTTAGCACAGTTGAGTATAAAAATGTAGAGTTATGGGGCTGGGAAGGTGGCTCAGTGGTAGAGCACTTGCCTTGCATGCATGAGGCCCTGGGTTCTATTCCTCAGCACCACATAAGCAAAAAGAAAAAAGCTGGAAGTTGTGCTGTGGCTCAAGTGGTACAGCACTAGCCTTGAACTGAAGAGCTGAGGGACAGCGCCCAGGCCCAGAGAGTTCCGGCCCCACCACAGGACCAAAAAAAAAAAAATGTAGTTATTTTTTAAATAAAGTATGTAAAAAGAAATATTCGAATATTATAGCTTATAATAAAAAATTAGATCTGAATCAAACCGAATCTTTCTTCAGCATTTTTTTCTCCTTTCATTTGTATAGGAGAATTTGGGGTTCAACCAAAATTCCTTGAAAAGAAACAGAAATGTGAATGTCTTTAAGTTAGAGATGTACTTCTAGTGTGTTAAGTAATACTCTATATTGAGACCCAAAATGCAATTTCTCAAACAGGTCTTCAGTCAACTAGAAATAAGAATGCAGGCATAGATTTATAAATAGGAAAAGTGTAATTGGTTGTGAACATAAGGAAATAAATGAAGTCTATGACAGAGCAGTCACATGTGCTTTTATCATGGAGATCTGCTACCTTGAGGACCCATAATCTCAAGGTGAGTACCAGGAGAAAGGCGTGATCTGGAATGATTAGGTAGTAATTTCAACCACTTTTGCTGAATGTCAGAATAAACAATAACCTTTGGCTAGTTTCACCAATTCCTTGACTACCAGTAAGTTTGGTAGTTGAAAGGACTTTGTGGATCAACCATGTGTCCTCACTAATAATAATATAAAAGTGATCCAGTCTGTTAGAGCACAAGGCTCATTGCACTACTAACATCCCCAGCCACAATCTGGACAAGTGTCCTTCTGAAAACCACTCCTGCCTCCAGCACACCAGACCCTCAGAATAGAAACAGATTTCTCATTCTCATTACATCCAAACTTTAAGCTTTTCAAAACTGTTAACCTAAAGCTGGGCACCAGTGGCTCACAAGTGTAATCCTAGCTACTCAGGAGACTGAGATCTGAGGATCATGGCTCAAAGCCAGCCAGGCAAGAAAGTCCATAAGACTCTTATCTCCACCAGAAAACCAGAAGTGGTGCTGTGGCTCAAGCGGTAGAATGCTAGCCTTGACCTGAAGAGCTGAGGGACAGTGCTCCAGCCTAGAGTTCAGGATCCATGACCAATTAAAAAAAAACCTGTCAACCTAGAGTTCCCTGCTCTTGCATTAATCTTATGTTTTCTCCAACATTCTAAACTTCTTGATCTTCAGGAACAAAAATAAGCCCATTTTTAACAAAAATGATACCCAAATAAACATGAGATGAAGCAGGATTCACTATCAATACTAAATGCATTGAATGCAGCCATCAGACATTGGAGCTCCTCCTAAATTTCAAGATGAAAAATAAAGTTTCAAGCTACAATGATAATGTGGTTTGAGTACTGAAATGTGGAAAGATATATTTTATTTAAAAAAACTATGTGTGAGTATAATATCTTTACACCAATAGTATATCCAAAGAGACTCTATTCAGATAAAAATTATATCTATTGCCTTAAGTTAGAATTAACTAAGAATATATGTGGATTAATCAATTAAAATAAGACAGTAACCTGAGCCATTTTTAAAGCACTTTGATTGTAAAAGTATATGCTTACAAAATGGAAATAAAAATCCCTTCTGAGAAAAGGATTCATAGATGCTAGTGAGTTGCATTCATACACATTATAAGAACATTATAAGAAGATTGCTGATATAAATAAATGAAGAGTAGTCAAAAAGTCTTAAACTTGTGTGATTTAATATATAAAGATTTAGCTGAGTATTGGTTCCTCATACCTAGCTACTCAGGAGGCTGAGAACTGAGGATTGAGATTCAAAGCTAGTCAGGGCAGGAAAGTCCTTGAGACTTATCTCCAATTAACCAACAGAAAACTGGAAGTAGAGCTGTGGCTCAATTTGGTTCAGGGCTAACCTTGAACAAATGAGCTCAGGGACAGCAAGCACTCAGGCCTGAATTCAAGCTCCACAACAGATAGATAGATGATAGATAGATAGATAGATAGATAGATAGATAGATAGATAGATAGATAGATAGATAGAGAAGTTGCTGTATCTTCACTGGGCTTTCCACATTGTGACAAAAAGCCATGGTTTTGATACAGTTTGTTCTCCAAAGATTTCATTTGCTGGAGGCTTGGTCTCCATTGTAATATGAAAGATGGTGGAGACATTAAGAGGTGAATGACTACCATAACCATCCTCTGGAAGAGACTGACCCTGGTTTTACTTTTTGAGTCATTTCTCCTCATCCAAAAATGGATTTGTTCCCAAGGCAAAATTGTCACTAAAAAAAAAAAAAAAAAAAAAGCAAGTCTGCAAGTCTGACTCCTCTCTCACATGCACTCCCATCCTGTTAGGCACTTCCTAGAGATCAGTCAGATGGGGATGCCTGAATTTGGCCTCTCTTTCTCCAAAACCATGAGCTAAGTAAACCTCTTCTCAACACAAGCACCCAATCTCTTGTATTTTGTCAGAGTAATGCCAAATAAACTGACATAGTCCATTAAGCATTCCTTTCTTCAGGTTTTACTATGATGTCTGTTACCTATAAATCAGATCTTTCCAAAATGCAAAAGTAAACAATGATTTAAACATTGCATCATTTTCTCAAAGTGCATGAGTTAGAAAATCATCAGAAACTGCCTGCATGAACTTCATGTGGATGCAGAAAACAGAGAGGAAAAAGCAAACTCTTTCAATCTGAAATTTTTCTAGGAATTCCAGATAGGAAGATCGATTCAGACTAGAGATGAGGCAGTTGCAGTGAAAGCGTCACAGGGGATTTGCTGAACCAAACTGTCTAGATTACCTTCAACATCACAACTCAGATAGTTGCGCACTTCATTCAGAATGAAGTTGATATCTTCTTCGGAAGGAATAGGATGGGGTGTGATGTCTGTTGGACTATCAGTAGTGCCAGCAATGGTCATCTTTTGCCAGGGTAAGAAGAAAATAACTCGCCCATCACTAGTTGCTGGATCTAGAAGTCCCATGCTCTCAGGGCTGAAATTTAAAAAGAAAAACAAAAAACACTTCTGACATTAGCAGAAATTTAATAATTTAATAATAATCCATATTATAAATAAGATAATAAATTTAATAATTTATTAATGAATAAAATAATCCATAAATAAATAATCCATACACCATAATGCTATTTTATTCATGAAGGCACCAAGAAGCAAACCAAGAAAGGCACATGCTATAATTTTGCTCCTACTCTAATCCAGAACTTCCACAAAAAAAAAAACTGAGTAGCAAAAAAAGATCTGAGCAAATGTGATAATAATATTATTCTTCAGTAGAACCACCCTCTCCACCTCAACAATGCAAGGTTAATTAACTCCCAATTGTTTGGTTTTTATACTCCTTGGACCATTCACATCAGATAATGTCACAGGGATAAATGCCTATAATTTCTTTTATTATGGTCAATTAAGGATAGTTCTTCAACCTTTTTCCAAGACTATGAAGAGTATTTTCCTGAGACATTTGACATTTGGCACATCTTTCAGTAGAAGGTCTCAGAAATGTAGGAAAAGTAAGGAGTCTAACTTTCTAGAAACTAAAACGTAGTTTTAAAAAATTCTTTATTCCTTTGTGCTTAGATGAACTTTTGGCACTTCACCAAATGTGAGATTTCTTAATTTATTTCAAGATTACAGAAATCCAAGGAAATGTATGCAGAAGAAAATAATGAAATAACAATGTCCTAGGATGAGTCAATGGAAAGGAGTATGTTGGCAATAAAAATCCTTCAAATAAAAGACACTGTTATATAATGGTATTGCATTATGGAACAAGGTGGCTTCTATGAAATCTTCCCCAATGATAGTCAATAAAAAAAACTGGTCTATTTTACAATAAAAAAAATTTAAAAACTGGTCTATAATAACCAAATTATAAAACACACTTGATAGAATGGGTAAGTTTAAACAAATATTAACAAAACCAACATGATTATGACTAGAAACTATTGTTCTGATGCATTTATAGCATGCAAAGAAATTTGCACAAGTTCTTAAAGGCACAGAAGGCAGCTGAAAGCATCATATTCAAAGAGAACACAATAAATATTCCCATAACTTTCGATTTAACTGAGTTCTCATCTAAAGATATTTTCTATTAAATACATATTTTAGCTTTTCCTAATGCACCATCTTAAAAAGAAAATAATTCTGTTTGAACAAATTTCAAGAAATCCCTTTCACACACACACTCACGCACGCACACACACACACACACACACACAAAAGGGCAATGATAACTTTGCATGTTTATCATTCTCTTACATTTTTAAAGGATTTATCCAAATATGTAAGGAAGCTAGCAACTCTCTAAAACAAATCAAAATGTTTTATATAAAAAGATAGCAAGCTGGGCACCGGTGGCTCATGCCTGTAATCCTAGCTATTCAGGAAGCTGAAACATGAGAACTGAGATTCAAAGCCAACCCAGGCAGGAAAGTCTGTGAGACTCTTGTCTCCAGCTAAGCTAATTTATTTATTCATTCATTCATTCATTCAAAAGTGGAGCTGCAGCTCAAGTGGTAGAGCACTAGTCATGAGCAAAAAAGCTCAAGGACAGCTTCCAGGCCTGACTTCAACCTCCTAGACCAACACACAACACATACACACACACACACAAACACACACACACACACACAAACACTTAGTTAATAGGTTTCCTTTACTGAAAGCACAGGCGAACTTTCTATGCAAGGAACTCTGGGCCCCATTCATTACTTATTTGAGATACTCAAGTGAGTATCAGTCATTTATATCAGGGAAGTGTCACATCATTTAGACCTGAAGATAAGACCCTCAGCTTCAATCAGTGGTATTTGAAGGAAATTGTTTTACTTCACCTTAACATATATAGAAAACTACAAATAATTTTTTATCTCTAAAAGTGGCTATATACTTTCTTCATTGTATTTGTCACAAAACTCTAGAAATCTTTACTTAGTCATGCTTCATTCATAAAATAAAGTACCTTGACTGAACCACATATTTGGTTAGCAATTTTTCTTCTTTTCTTATTTTTTTTTTTTTTTTGTCATGGGGCTTGAACTCTGGGTCTGGGCACTGTTTCTGAGCTCTTCAGCTCAAGGCATGTGGTCTACCACTTGAGCCACATCTCCACTTCTGATAAGCACCTTTTCTGATTGCCTATTGATATACCCTTAGATTAAATCAGTCACTTAGGATTGGAGATAATACATCAGAGTTCAAGCATGCAGTTTAATAAACAGTACATTGGTGAAGAAAGAAAAGAAAGGAAAAAAAGAGAATGAAAGGAAAAAAAGAAAGGAGAAAGAGAGAAGGAAAGAGAAAGGAAAGGGAGGGAGGAAGGAAGGGAAGAAAGAAAGAAAGAAAGAAAGAAAGAAAGAAAGAAAGAAAGAAAGAAAGAAAGAAAGAAAGAAAGAAAGAAAGACAAAGAAAGGAAGAAAGAAAGACAAAGAAAGGAAGAAAGAAAGACAAAGAAAGAAAGAAAGAAAGAGAAGGAGGGAGGGAGAGAGGAAGGAAGGAAGGAGGAAGGAAGAAAGGAAGGAAGGGAGGGAGGGAGGAGGAAAGGGAGGAAGGAAAAGAATAGGATAAATTCAGAATTCAAATATTTGAGACACAAATTATATGTTGATTTGTTTTGTATACCACCACCATTTCATGGACCAGGTAGGATAGGCCTCAAATAATAAATCTTTATTAAACTTAAACATAAAAGTATAATACTCAGCAACTTAAGTAGGAAATGCAGTTACAAAAGTGCAACTACTGAATCCTTCAAAAACTTTATTTGCAATAAAAGCTATTTACAGGGTGAAGGTGACGATAACCATCACACATGCAACTGGAGCCTGCAGAGACCCAGCAGTTTAAGTGAAGACATATGTGACACATATAAAGTTTAACAAGCACAGAGGGGAGGCAATGCTATGAATGAACGGTGTAAAAATTTAAGGATCCACTTGGAAATATCCTTCATGAGTTCTATATTACCCAATTCATATTCTCCCTTAGAGAAATATTTGTTTTCTTCTGAAGGATTAATTCTGCAAGGTCAGAGTGACATTTGTTCACAGGACCAGCCGTGATGATAGTAAGCACTGTGCAGCAATTGTATGGGTCTCTCTGCAATCTGTATGTTTCATGTGTCAATGGGAAGAAAAGCAGGGCTAATTTATGCATGTGTCTGGGATTAAAGGTAATGAACATTTTTCCCCCCTGCAGACCATTGTTTTCTAAAAGTTCCCTTAGTTAAACTGAAATCAATTAGTGGTTAACTACTTAGCGATCAAGTTTAAAGCTAACAGTAGATACACACACATTCTAGAAAAGGAAAGAAAAAAAAAAGACTGACCTCTGATCACTAGCAAAAAAGCATCTGTAGGCTAGAAGGAAAAGATAGTTATCGGTATGCATTTCATTTTATGATGTTTAATCGATGCTTTTTCAAGAGCACCTAACCGCAACTGCCATCAGAGTTCCAGAATGGTTCATAGTATCAACTAAAAGATTCGCAGAACTGATTTTTATGTTGGGTTTCTTGAAATTAAAATTTTCCTTCTGCCTCTTCTTCTCTCCTCAAAAACTGCTATGATGGCTTAGGATAATAATACTATATGCAGACTTTGAGTCAGAGGCACAACATATTTAGCAAACACCGTATTTCTGAAAATGGCCCAACAAGAAAGATGACACAAGTGGTCTTTGTTCTTCACAGCTACATACTCACTGTACTGCAAATGAATCAGTATGTAACGGAAATGTATAGCCAGGTGTAGGACATCCCCAGAAAGTCCAGACTAACTCTTCCTCATCCCTGCAGACCTGGTTAAAGTCATCATGTTACAATTGCTAAGTGTCATAGACTGCTGTGATGAGACCATCTCTACAGTGTGAAGTCTCCAAACTGAGGCAAAAGAAGGTCTTAATAGGGAAAGGAAGACAATTCTTATGGGAGGCCAGGGGTATGGTTGTCTTAAGGACAGTGCTCAGAAGGCCTTCCTCCGGCCATCAGTCTATAGACAAGTAGCTCACCTGCATTGAGACTGACCAAGAGCCAGGCTACTGACCACTCATCTAAGGTTTCCAACAGAATTACCGCTGTTATAGTTCCCAGTGCTAATAGAACAGACAGTAACTTTTCTCCAAGCAGAATGAGGGAGGGAAGAAGGGAGTGGGAATGAAGCAGACCTACCTGCAACTAACAACTTCATAAATTAGGGAAGTCTTAATCTAAACTGAATTTTTAGGATTTAATAGGACATTTTGCTTTGAAAAGATTACATCTATCTACGATAGATATCTATACTTTTATCAAAAACCTCCCTATTATAAAGGGTACAAAGCATGCTATACAAAAATATCTGTAACATGACGGCTTTCATGTTAAGTTTTTTTTAAGGGGATATACATTTATACAAGTAAAAACACAAAACTTTTATAGAAAGAATTAGAAGCAAGGCTGATGATTATAGAAAACAGCTGGAGGAAGGTCTGGAGAGAGGAGGGAGATTTTACTGTTATTTTGTTCATCGTGTCTGACATCTGTGATCACGTACTTAGCATTATTTTAGTTATTATTTTTGTTATTTAGTTATTCATTGGTGGTAACAGGCTTTATCTGGGCATTAAGGTGAAGTGTTCTATTTTTCTTTCATATTCTAAAATTTCCATATTAAGCAAAATCCCTTACAAATGTGTCACTCAGCTTTCTTTTGCCATTAAAAAAGGCAAAAAGAAAGCAAAAAAAAAAAAAAAAAGTAGCTGAGTTATTCAACTCATAAAAAGACTCTGGCCCAGAGTCTTGGAGATTCCCACCCATGATTAGTTGAGCCCACTTCAAGGATTGATGTAGTAGGAAATAAGCAAGCAGCAGAACAAAACTATTCAAGTCATGCCAGGACAAAAGCAAACAAGAGGCAGGAACCCCTGCAATCTCCTGTAAGGGCATTGCCACTCCATGACCAAACACTGTGTATTAAGCCCCATCTCTTTTAAAATTCCACCACTACCAAATAAAAGACGAACAGGCTAGGTGCGTGTGGCTCACACTTATAATTCTAGCTACCTAGAAGTCTAAGGTATGAGTATTGCAGTTCAAAGTTATCCTAGGCAGTAAAGTCTGTGAGACTCATTACCTCCAATTAACCACCAAAAAGCCAGAAGTGGAGCTGCAGTTCAAGTGGTAGAGTACCAGCATTATGCAACAAAAGCTAAAGGACATGGGACAGTAACTAGGCCCTGAGTTCAAGCCCTGGTATGAGCACAAATAAGTAACCAAGATTTTTAACTCATAGGCCTTTGGGTTACAGTCTAAGACCTTACCTAGCATGTACTAGGTAATTGGTTAAATCCTCAGCATTAAAGGAGAAACAATTTATTGGACACTCAGCTCTGTAACAAGAGCTAAGGATATAGCAGTCAACAAAACAAATTAAGGGGCTGGGAAGGTGGCTCAGTGGTAGAGTGCTTGCCTTGCATGCATGAGGCCCTGGGTTCGATTCCTCAGCACCACATACCACATAAGCAAAAAAAGAAAAAAACCAGAAGTGGTGCTGTGCCTCAAGTGGTAGAGTGCTAGCCTTGAGCTGAAGAGCTGAGGGACAGTGCCCAGGCCCAGAGTTCAGGCCCCATGACCGGACCCCCCCCAAAAAAAAACAGATTTAAAAAGTAAATAAAACTGTATTCAAGTTAGGTATTACCCAAGCATCTGAAAGAGCTTGTCCAAGGTCACACAGGTAGCAAGCATGTGGACAATGAACAAACCCTGGCAGTACTATGCCAAGGTATTGCCTTCATCTTATACTCTATGCTGTCTTCTTGTCTCTGCATTAGAAGAAAGCAGGGTATTTCCCATTTTAAAGACAGGAAACGGAAGTTAGAAAATGAAATGGTTTTTCCCAAAAGAATTGAGTCATTTTGTGACAGAATTAAACTAAGGCATTTGGAGAACAACATTAAGGGATAACAGTGGAAAAAACTTGGGGGACTGTGCACTCAGGGACAATCTGGACTAAAGAGTTTGATGCCAGCCTGGATTACAAAGACATACTGTCTCAAAAATAAAATTGTTAAAATATATAATATGATATGTATGTGTGTATGTATATGTTGTCATCAGATAACAGTAAGCTAACGCTCTAGATGATATACTAAATATTAAAAGGTTCTATCTTTCTTTTATGGAAAATTATGAAAAAATAGAAGATAATAACTACTATCTATTGTCATATTATCTGGAGACAAACTAACATATTTCTTAGTTTTTTTCTTTTACATAGAAAAATATATAGAAATATTTCATAATATTCAATGTACAGGTGAAAATGAGGAGATGGGTGGAGTTGGAAGATAAGGGGGAGGATGATGAAAGAATGATCAAAATGCACTGAATTCACAGAATGTCTAATTAAAACCCCTTTGTACAACGATTTAAGGAAAATAATAATAATAATAAATCATTCAGAACTTCCATCTTCAGGTTCATAATGGCAAATGTGTAACCAGGACAAAAAAGAAAAGAGAAGAAGAAAAGAAATACCTCATTTAGATCCTACCACATATACAATTTCTAGTCCTAAGTGGCTTCCTTGGACAACAAAGCTATTTATAGTTATATATAACACTTCCTTTTATAGATATATATTCTTCTAAGGTAAGGAACTCAGGTAGTTTCTACCCTTCCTTCCCTTCCTTCCTTCCTTCCTTCCTTCCTTTTCTTCTTCCTTTCTTTTTTTAAGCTGGAACTTGGGCTTGAACCCAAGATGTCTAAGTCACACTTGGCTTTTTCACTCAAGGCTGGCATTTTACCACTTAAGACATACCTCTGCTTCCAACATTTTTTGGTTAACCAAAGATAAGACTTTCTCAAGCAGGGCACCTGTAATCCTAGTTACTCAGGAGGCTGAGATCTGAGGTTCAAAGCCAGCCCAGGCAGGAAAGACTGTGAGATACCTATCTGCAATTAACTACTCAGAAAGTGCCAGAAGTAGCACTGCGGTTCAAGTGGTAGAGGGCTAGCCTTGAGCACAGAGAGGCTCAGGAACAGAGCCCAGACCCTGCATTCAAGCCATAGGACTGGCAAAAAAAAAAAAAAAATCACTTCTCAGAATTGTCTGCCAGGCTGGCTATGAACCTTGGTCCTCAGATCTCAGCCATTTGAGTAGCTAGGATTAGAGGCATTCACCTGGCATTTCTAATCTTTCTTAAGAATAATACATGGCCAAAATAATGCTTCTGCATGTAAGCCATTTCTGTATGTAGAATTACTACTTTCTCACTACCTTAAACACATATGGAAATAAAAAAACAGTAGGTACGTTCTGTACTTGTGGTTGTATGAAGTTCCTCATAGATTCCTTTAAATGTTCTTTAGGAGAGATTATTTTTAATGATTTGGCAAAAAAATAGATAAATGTTCTTACTAAAAATTCCAAACATACAGAAGAGTGTGCTTTTTACCCATCCTCCAGCAGAAATTATTTTTGATTACTCTTATCTCTACCCCTACTTATGCCTCCTTCCCACTTTGCCAACCTGATATTTTGGGGGGAAATATATATGTTTATATATTTTATATTTATATAAAGAAATATATATTTATAGTGTGTGTGTGTGTGTGTGTGTGTGTGTGTGTGTGTGTGTGTGTGTGTGAATGTAAGAATCTTAGAGTAGCTCACATTTTCCATCAAACTAATTTTTCTTTCTGGTCATGGGGCCTGAACTCTGGGCCTGGGTACCATCCCTCAGCTCTTTAGCTCAAGGCTAGTTTTCTACCACTTAAGCCACAGCACCACTTCCAGCATTTTCTGCTTATGTGGTACTGAGGAATCTAACCCAGGGCCTTATGCATGCAAGGCAAGCACTCTATCATTGAGCCACCTTCCCAGCCCCCATCAAACTATTTTGAAAAATCATTTTTAATAATTTAATTAAAATGTATCTTTCATGGAAATTTTGCCAGATAATCATTTAATATTTTAGTTAAAGGATAATGTTAAATGCCAATACTTCAATCTTGCAACATGACACACTGAACAAAATACAACATAAAAAATTAGGCCCCAAATCATGGCCCCTTAGGATCAAGAACTGCTATAAGTGGGAATGTGGATTAGTGGTAGAGTGCTTGCCTAGCCTGCATGAAGCCTTGGGTTCGATTCCTCAGTACCACATTAACAGAAAAGGCTGTGGATCAAGTGGTATTGTACGAGCCTTGATCAAAAGAAGCTCAGGGACAGTACCCTGGCCCTAAGTTCAAGCCCTAGGACAGACAAAAAATAAAAAATAAAATAATTCCCATGCCTGGATAATATTTTGTTTTGAAAGAGCTCCTTGGCTTATTTGTTCTCATGTTGCACAGTGAGTTTAAGCACCTATTATTAAACACACACTAGGCTGGAGCAATTACTGCATAAACAGTTACTTGCATCCCTTTCTCAAGTGATATTGGTCAAGGTGAAACCCAGTTACCTGTAGTAGCCAGGCATGACAATATGGACGCCAGCACTGGCTTGACAGATAGGTGGTGAGTTCTTATCATCCATTTTGCGCACAGAATCTGTGAAAGGTCCTGTAGCATTGATAACACATTTGGCTCTCACATCGAATTCTTGCCCTGTGAAAGAAATCACCATCCATCACATTTCCCCATTTGTTTCTCTGAGTTCACTGAGTCTGTATTTTCCTAATATATCCATTACCATAACCTAGGGCGACATGTATAGCATGCCACACTAAGTGACAAGAGCAGCTAGAGTTATTAGGAGCCAAACAAAAAGGCTCATTCCTAAGTTAAGTTTACTAGAAGCAAGTCCAAATTAAAGGGGGGGTACAGGGGGAGGAGGCATGCCACTTTTTCACTATGGATTTCAGTCTATTTATAAAGCTCTCATGATCAAGGCCTCACACATAAAGGGGATGAGTAAATAAGTTTTCCTCGAAACTCAGAAACAGAAACAGAATTGCTGGGGAAATGAATTCCCAAGGCAGAACCAGTGGCATGTCTAAAACAACGTGATTTTGCAAGTGCCTGCCTGGCCATGAGACCAGAGTCAGAATGAAAACCTCACCCAAGTTAAAGGTGATTGACTTTAATGATGTGTAAATGCACTGCTGGTGTCACCTAAGTAATGCTTTGAAATCTGGCACATTTATTTAATTTTATTAATCATATGTTTTTACAGTGGAAATGGAATGCACTCATAAGCTGTGGGGATTTGGTGAGCATTTATTATTATCATTATTATTATTAATGCAAAGGAGGAAAATTGCCAAGTCTCAAAAGGGGAAATTTTCATGTTAAAACCAGTCATTGTTGACAATAAGGGATATAATTAATATGACTCTGAAAGTCTGGATTTCATGAAAGAAAATCGACAGAAAAATTATAATTCAGCAAGGCCAAGTACTCCAAAAGACATCCTCCCTCCCTTCCCCCCAGACACGAGCATACCTGTGAGTACATCCTTACACCGTGCTCCGCTCACACGCTCCTTGCCTGTTTGGGGGTCTGTCTTCTTGAGCAAGCGTACAACCTCCATGTAATTGGCTGTGGCAGCCCCGTACCTGGCAGCAGTGAGTGCAATGGCTAGGTTCATCCGTGCATCGTTGTGCTGTCCTGCAGCAGGGAAAAGCACCAGGGAGGGACAGGAGTCACCTCGAGCCACAGGCTGGTAGTACAGAAGGGTGTCACAACAGATATGTCACATCTGTCCCTGTCACCCAGAATATCTGTGATGGCTGGGCAGCTCTACAGGGCATGATTTGAAAATACATGGTCGTTCTCACTCAGACATTTACCTGCCACAGCAGCAAGGGCATTTTGTGTACCAGAAAATAATGGCAAAATAATATATCCCCTTCAGATACAGAGCTAACATAATTATCTGAAAGTTAAAGAAGAAGTTAATTATTCTCTCCATGTGGGAACATATGTATATGTCAAGCTTTTCCTAATACAGAAAAACCATAAGCATGAAAGTGAAGCAATTCAAAACTTCGGAATATTTGACACCCCAACTGGTGTTGACGAACAATTTTCAAGAGTATGTGCTCAATCTAATATTCAAAACCAAGAGCCTAATCTTCCATGGAGAATCTCTCAGCATTCCATAAAAGGATTTTTTTTTCTGGGTTTGAATTTTGATCAGGGCTTCTTCAAATGTAACATTTTTAATTGCACATTAAAGGTACGAAATTAAGCAGGGCAAAATTTAATTACAGAACAATTCCTACCTGTATTGTTAAAGATTTATTGCTGAAAAATCCTAGTTAAACAAAACTAAGGGGGAGGAGAGAAGGGGGAAAAATGATTAATCACTTTAAAATACTGGCATCACTGGAGACTTTTTCTATTTATTATTGCCAGTGGAGTTAACGCTGACCAGGAAGAATTGCTCGACATTCCAGGGGCCAGGTTCTCTGTGCCCTGAATAATTAATTATCCAGGGCTCGATGTATTGAAGCAGAGTTCAGATTCCCACACACTGGGATCAGTTCTATCAAGATAATACTGATAAAGGGATGAATTTGTAATGGATATTGTTGTTGATTTATGTTGCCAGCATACCAAACATTTAGTATAAATGGTTTATGTAAAGTTTCTTCCTTGAGATTCAGTCTGTGCAGAGCTAGAAGGACTATACAAGTAATCTGTTCCAGCTAAAAGGGCAAAGTTATAAAGAGAGAATCGATGACTGAAGGTCCTGCCACCCCTCCCCACAAACATTTTCTAAAACTGCTGAACTAATTCCATCAGCCGAGAAACTCTGCCTTCAGATTCTGTGTACTTCCAAATGGGAAATGTATATATTAAACCTCAATATGCAATATTTTATCACTGTTTTAGAATTATTTTACTCGGACATTTAGCATTTATTAATGAAAAATATATTATCCTGGATTTAATATAGCCAAAATTTTAATAAATGAAAAACCGGAGAAGGAACAAAGCAACTATGACAACAGTAGCGGATGAGGTGGAAGCTGGAAGAAAGGACATATAATTAATTCTATCAGTTTCAACTCAGCAAAACCTTAAAATTGCTTCAAATAATCATTTGGTACAACAGAAGTTGAAGGGAACCAACCTTTATTAAAATAGGGCTCGTATTTCAAGCCAGAATCCATTTCGCAATGTTATATGCACACACTCCATAGAAATAAAAATTCCATTGTAGGAAAACATTCCACAGTAGTCATTCACCCAATACTTCTGGTGGATGGTAAGTGTGTTACACACTCACCAGCAGAGGCAAGCATTTGGCAGCACAAGAATTCCAACCATCACATAAGCTAGAGAAACTCATCCATTAGATGTGTTGATTTAAAAGATGTGATACAGCCAGGCACTGGTGGTCCATGTCTATAATCCTAACTACTCAGCATGTTGAGATCTGAGGATTATGGTTCAAAGCCAGCCAAGGCACAAAATCTGTGAAACTCTTACACAAATTAACCCCAGAAAACTGGAAGTGGCACTATGCCTCAAGTGGTAAAAGCTCAGGGACAACACGTAGGCCCTGAGTTCAATCTCAAGACTGGCACCAAAAGAGGGAGAGGAGGAGGAGGAGGAGGAGGAGGAGGAGGTGGTGGTGGTGGTGGTG